TCTATATATCAATAGTACTTATTTCAAAAGGGGTAAGTTTTATCTAGCATCGGACATCTGTTCTCGTGTCTATTTACAAACATGTTTTATTATTTAATTAACTCTTTTTCTCTGTATAAGCTTATGTGCTGCTCGCACATCATCCAGCGAAATTTATATTATCTTATGATCACCGAACCTTCTGTTTTGAATTATTGTCAAATTTGTGCCATGTAGACTAAGACTGGACTTTTAAAAACAATAGTTTTTTTTTTTTTCAGAATTCATGGAGATGATGACCGGAGAATAAACAGCAAAATCTATTCTACTTTATATTTATACCTATGAATTAACTTTAGGAATCTATTTTACATTTCAATACTTCAACTTTTCGATACTTGGAAACATCGGACACCAAAATATATCTTCAAGAACCATTTATTCAACTTCATAGTATTATGTATTGTACAAAATAATATTTGCTCTCGTCTAATTGATGTGTGTGGCTGAGTAATGTTTATATTCTACTTATTAATAAATCTTTTAATATACTATCAAGATTTTTGATTTAAATCACTTGAATATTAACCTTAATGATACGCGTATTGTATTTATAAAGTACTCGAAATTATATTTCTTTGATGATAGTGTTTATATTATATAATAAAACAACTTTTCCAAAATAAAATAATGAAAAATTGCTTAAAATTGTGCCCCAAATAGCCGAAGATAACATTCATGACATAAAATGTAGTTGGATGCTAGCCAGATTCAAGTGGAAGTTCTATTTAAAATAATACTCTTCCGCTAGACCATTTTATTACCGTTTTTCTTTATACTTGTTTCAATTTAATTCACTAACTAACATCAAGTAAAGTTTATAAGCAAGAATTTTTATACCCCGGTCGGTGACGCAATCTAAACAAAGCGATATGATTTTAATTCTATGTCGACCCCATATTGTAGGTGAGATAAGGACAGCAAGACGATGATAATGACGATGGTCGGTGAAGGAAAAATGAGTGAAGTTATTACTCATTTTTGGAAAATTTACTTTGTAAAAAAATCCAGTGAAAAACGCACACAGAATGCCGCCCTGGAGCAGGTTCGAATTTTTCGAAATAATTTTTCGACAATTTATCTACAGGTTTAAGCTTTTACAGGAGTTTAACACTTTTATTTCACAAAAGTTTTGAGAGTTTGTCACAAATGATTATTTATTACCGCGGGGTTGGATGTACTTAAGAATGATGTCAAAGACCAACGAGATACCTTCATAAGACCTGAGGTAAGGCATTTCGAGTCACCGACGAAAGTTTCAGTCGTTTACTCAGAGGCATGTGAACCAAACAAGAATAAATAAAACTTGTATTTGTTGTGTAATTTGTGCAAGTGAATTCTGTACTTTCGTGTTTTGTCACGACCTCACAAACTCTTCCCTTAAGATATAAGCTCCAGCAATACAAGTCGTGTACAAAGCTTCCTAGAAGCACAGTTAAATAGATTTCAGGTAGAGAAAACTAAAATCTAGTAAATATGGAGTGAGTACTGTGAAAAGTGCTTTCAGGTGCATAGGCACCCTGTATAGACAGGTGCCTATATTATATTTATTTTTATTATACTTTAATTTTATTAAAAGTTATTTTAATGAAACTACCGCGAAAAGTGGTCCCTTTGATTATTGTTTTAGGGTTAATAAGGATAAAAAACCCAAAGGCATTAATACCCTATTACTAAGACTCCGCTTTCTGTCGGTCCGTTTGTCACCAGGCAGGCGGATGTATCTCAAGAACCGTGATAGTTAGACAGTTAAATTTTCACAGATAATTTATTTCCATTGCCGCCATAACAAAAAACACTAAAAAACAGAAAAAAAAGTGATTTTCTATTTATATTTCCCATAGAACAGACATGATTTTTCCTTAAAACCCTTCATGCACGAGTCCGACTCGCACTTGGTCATTTATTCAATTTCTCTTGTATCCGATAATGTTACTGTCAAATCAGTTATTTTAAGTTGACATTGCACTTGCACTCGCACGATATTAGCTGAAAGGCTAGAATTGGCCTAGTGATAAGGAATGACGGACACGGTATTGGGGACGTGATGGTAAGCCAGCAGATTTGGATCCCAACTAGTGATTTTCCTTTTTTCAGGTTTCCCAGGCGCTCCTGCGACCTGGCTCGATTATGTTTAAACAAGTTTGACGAAACATTGACAGTTTTTTGTAAGTGAAAGCATTATAGTTAATTGATCGACCCCATTAGCGTAACTGATAGTGACCCTGTCTCGTGCGCCAGAGGGTGGGTTTGATCCCCACGACGGGAAATATTTTGTGTGTTGTACAAAGCGTTTTTCTAGTGTCTGGGTGTTTATATAATATGTATTTATTCATAAAAGAAAAATATGTTTATCAGTTTTCTAGTACCCATAGTACGTTGTCTTAAATATTGTACAGAAAATTGTTTAATGAAATTATGTTCATTCATCATGTTTTGCATTTTCAAATGAATAAAAAAACAACTGTGCTTTGTATTGATATTTATTATAATATATAACATTATTATTTTCGGAAATAACTTAAAAGCCTACTTAAAACGTAGACCCGATTTTAATTATAAAGTAATTAGATACTTATCAATATTGAAAGGATAATAATAAATAACAAGAGACAGTTGAAGACAAATTAATATAAAGAGACACATTTTATACAACATAAACCAAATTCATGAACTATTCACTAGAAATATTGATTATTAATAAACGTAAATACATTCATAAAATTTTCAAAAACAGTTATATTTAAAAAAGTTGCGGTTAACTGTTTTGCAAAGCTTACTATTTACAACTTTGCATCCAATTTCATGAGTTTTCGCATTGATTCCTTTGCATGAATGCGGAATAAAGCATGTCATAATCGTTTCTAATTTCTTAAATGTAGGTATAAGATTATGAAATGTGTATTATTCTTTTACAAAAATAATTAATTTCTCCGTACTCACTTTGTTCCTTTTTACTTAAAAAATCTTTTTGTTAACAAAATTAATATCTCAGTGACCTAAGCAAAAAAACTGTTTGTTAACAAGAATTTTACTACTTTCATTTGATGGCACATAGTACATTCAGAATTATAAAAAAAAACGAAAATGTCAGGTCAGTCATACATTTCCACGAAGTATAACCATTGAAGTACAATACCCTATTACGTTACAAATTTATAAAATATTAAAATTCATTGGTAACGCTTATAAGAACTAAACTTGGTAAATGTAAATAACTTTAACTCCGGCGTAATTCGATTAAAATAAATTTTAAACGATAGAGAAAAATCACTAACGAATTTATCAACAAGCAGAATTCGGCGGTCGCTTATAGTTTTCGAAAAAATAAATAATGAAATAGTGTGATTTTGCCATAGAAATCCGCCATTTTTGACAATATGTCAATTCTGCTCGTATTTCTTGGTGGTCATAAAAAAATAACCTAACAACGAAGGTTAAGGCGGGAGCGGAGCTCCTTCCTAACCTTCTAACCTAATCTATCCGAGTCGGATTCGCTCTGTGTCGGTTCTGTGACGCATTAAATTATAAAAAAATCGGACTATCGATACGAGTATGATGTCGCCCGCTTCCTATATTTATCATGTTGGCAGAACTGTGTATTGAGTTTTTGAAGTGAAATAAATAAAATGATGGATTTCTTAGTAAAAATAACAAGTTTTAAATATTTTTTTCTCGAAAACTATAAGCGACCGCCGAATTCTGCTTGTTGATTAATTCATTAGAGAATTTTCTCTATTGTTTAAAATTTATTTTAATTGAATTACGGAAGAGTTAAAGTTATTTACATTTGCCCTAAACTTTAATCAGGACACGTAATATTATTTTTTATTTTATACATATTATGTAGGTATATAAATGTCACGTCTATAAAATATAGTCAGTTGACGATGTTATAGGAAGAAATTTGTCTACACAAAGTAGCAAACCTGCAGTCTATCATCTATAAATAAAACTAAAATTAAAACCATTAGTAAGTTTATCAGGATCCATCATAACAAAAATTAAATTTGATGAGATAGGTAAGTGGAACTGCGAATTACCTATATACATAATTAAATAGCTAAGATAGCATGCAGAAAATATTATGTTACTGTCAAATATGGCACTAATGCGAGCATGAACTATATGACAACCTATAAATATTAATTAAATTTATACATAGCTATATAGTCATAATTGGAGACAATTTTGGTTTTCTCTCATTTTTTTAACTGCATCTTTTATAGATTTTTAGGTGAATTAGTGACAATGATTTCAACATTCATACTTCACGTTTTCCACAAGTTAGCTTCTTGGCTTCAGATAGCTAGAATTATCTAAGATTTCATAAAGCTATAACTATAGATGAGATCTCAATTTGAACTATGCTTTACCAAGCGTCTTTCCTATCAGAAATCATAAGCAAAGCTTATATCACATTAGGTTCAAGAATGACACAAAATTATATTAACTTGATAATCGATGGCTTATGAGTGATTATGCACTTGGTAGAGTTCTATTAGTAATAATTAAATTAGATAATATAAAAATTATGAAATTAAATTAATAATTAAAAGCATTTCTGTTGGGTTCGAGAGTTCACAATATTTATTTGTATTTAAGACATTTGATTTCAAAACTAATATTATCTGTAACCAACTAACAGGAACAGTAATATCAAAATCGAAAAAAAATTATCGAACAATTTGATATAAAGAATATTTAAAAAATTACTTTTGCTATTGTTGCATTAAAACTAAGTCGAAATTTTTTGGTAAGCAAATCTTACAATGAATAAAATGACACAGTTGTCGATAAACGCGAGGCACTAAAGAGCTAAGTGGAAGTTTTAATAATTAAAATGTTGGTACGTATACTTGCGTATTATAAGTATAACAAGAATACTGATTATTTAAATAGATCTTGATTCCTTTAAGAACTGTTGTACCTCAGAGATGCAACATAATATGCGTAGTTCATAATACTCTGTAACAAAAGAAAACATCTTCAAAGCATATATTCCTTTTTACATCAATACAAAACTGTTATCAATAATGTTTGAAACTGAATAAAATGTTTTCCAGAATCTTCAGTTATTCTTCATGTAGGTACTACTGATATTTTCATTTTTCATTCATTAAATGATTATATATATAATTATTTAATTATCAATTTTAAGTTTTTATCCTTTTTTATTTCAAAGGATTAAAACTGTATGCAGTAAAACCGATGACGAATGAGCAGCGCACTCCATAGACACACACAAAACCAGAGATGTCGTTCAGCCGTGGGGCTGTGTTCCCCGACCGAGCTGGCCTATCCATATACAGATGCCATCGCAAAGCTGTCAGAGACAAAAGAAAACCAACCCACCTAACTCGCCGCGCCGGCGGAATTGACTAGCGGAAGCGGCGCCGTTGGTTAGTGCAGTATAGGCGGCGGCGGGCGGGTGCGGTTGTTGCTCGGCTTGGGTACCGCCGCCGGGTCGAGGCGCGCCCGCCTGGCGGGCTCGGGGGCGGGCGGCGACTTGCGCGCGCGGCCGAGCCACGGCGGCGGCGGGCCCTCGCACCAGGCGGCGCGCGCCCATCCGCCCGGCTCGGCGCCCAGGCGCGTGCACTCGCGCGCGTACGCCCTGTACGCCGCGCAGTGGCACCGCTTGCCCGAGCAGCTGCACGCGTCCAGCACGCACGCCTCGCGGTAGTTGTGCGGGTTGACCCTGCCGCCGCAGTCCGCGAACGCCTCGTACCTGTCGAAGCCGCGGCACAGCCGGCGCGCCTTCGCCAGCCTGTGTGGCCGGCAGCGCGAGCTCACGCCCGGCCGCTCGAGCGGGCGCGAGCAAGCGCGCCGGCCGCCCACCCGCCACGAGGAGCCGAACCGCCACGCGTCGTTCAACACCCTCCCGTCGCGGGTCCTCATATCGTCCCTCGCCACCGAGTTGAAGTTGCCGCACAGGCCGCACAGTTTACCCCTGTAGACACTGGACACGGTCACCTCCAAGAATCCGTCACCGTCCCACAACAGCTGAACCCCGATGTCCGACCTTAATAGGACGGAGCCATTGGTTCGCGCGATATCGGCCACTTTGTTTATTTTGTGCGGCAGAGTCACCCTGCGCCCGTTCACTTTCACACGCATCTTCCGACCCATGTTCACTTTTGTGGAACCAATGCGCAGAGTCGCTGTGCGCGTCCACGAGGAATGTGTAGTATTTCTTGCGTCGTTCGAAATCCTTATCGAGAATGTATGATTCGCACAATCAGACACTAACTGGTATTTGCACGATCCCTGGAAACTATAAAATTTCCCGTCGAAAGTCTTATAGTGGGGATCGCCGAACACAGTGCAGATACCGTCGATGTCCACACATTTCGGACAACATTGACCGGGGAGCTGCCGTAGGTTTTGATCCGAAGGACATGACAATGGAGGGCACCGCTCCATAGCACATCGTGGTTCACCACCATGGCATTCGCACGATTTGCATGCATCCAGTTGCCAGGTTTCCCCGTCCTGAAATGGTATAAGGGCTTATTAACAGTGTTTCACATATAGATTTTACAATAAACTATAAACATTCTGTAAATGTATTTTCAATACGAGTAACAGTAGTCGGTATCACAATAACCAGTAACCGATAAAATTAAAGAACGGAAATGGTTTGTACCTGGTAGGTTACTCCTCCTACAACACACGCAGCTTTAGCCTCTTCAACGTGTGGACATTCGGTGCAACATTTGCCCGGAGGAGGAGGCAAAGCCCGGGCGCCACACGTCAGAACTGGACAAGTGTGACGCGTACACACCGTCGTCCCGTTCATACACGTACAGTCCGTACATGGGTCCACCTGGAACCGGCTGTGGTGGGCATGGTATTCTTTACCTATTATGCAGGGCTTCGGAAGCGAACTACCTGAAACTGATGGAAACTGTCATTAGACATTAGTTAGTAATCTATATGTAACTTATGTGAACTATGTAAGTAAAACATTTTGAGTAACAAATACATAACCGACTTCAATAAATTATACACTGACTAAACATTTTGTATAAGATTTGAGGAGTTATCCGATGTCGGAGGTCGGATACCAATTAAATAAATAACAGTTTTCTAACGTAAGAAACATAAAAAAAGCATACAACTGAATTGACAATCTGCTCCGTGCACCTTTTAGCGTCTCCTTTCTAAATACCTTCAGTCTTGCGGCTTCATAAACGATCTCACATATTCGTAAAAACTGTTACATCTGTAATATTACTGCAACTGTTTCCCAATCGATAGCAATGGACTGCCCCAACACAGGAGTAAATTCGTAAATTTAATGGGGTTCAACAAACAAATCTCTTCTTTTATTTTCTAACATAAACCATGTGATAACTGTGTGATTTATTTATTGGAAAATTCTTTATTGGACTAAAAGTTTGTACAAAGGCGAACTTAATGCTATAAAGCATTTTCTTCCATTTTATGATAAGCTTTGTTTAGGGGGCGTTTTATGAAAACAAATTAAACTCTGGCAAATACCTAACTTCGAAAAAATTTATGCAACAATACTGCAAGTTTTGCAAATGGTTAGCTTGGTCATCTAAGTCACTAGACGTAGTGAATGAAAAATAATTCTGGATTTTATCGTGTTTTTTTTTTATTTTAAATTAGCGACAATCCGTCCCCATGGACGGGATGTAAAGGGAGGACCATTGGAGACATGGAGAGACCATTCTCTTGTTAAATAATAACGTTACCCGAAATAGTACGGAGAAAATAGTTTCATTTAAACATAATATATAGTATGCGCGTAAACACAAGAAAGCACTAGACAATCAAAAAGGTCGTCTAAATGAGATCAGCGATGGAGCGGAAAGAATCTAACAACGTACTCAACGTGTTTCGCGGTTGTATGCGGGAGAGTTCTATGTTCAGGGATGGACTCGTAACAGGTTGAAATGATGAGTATGAACGTACTCGGCAGAATCTTGTCAGCAGTGGGGTGCGAGCAGCGGGGGCAGCACTCCCCGGGCGGTGTGTGCTGGTGCGCCCTAGGGCAGGGCAGTACTGGGCACGCGCGTTTGGCGCATGAAAGCGTGCCGCGCACACACCTGCAGGACAAGCAAGGCTCCTCGGGCACGCGAACGTCGCGCCCCTCCCCCACGCGCTGCCCATTGATCACGCACTCTGCGGAATTAAAATATTTCACGTTTTATAACTAGAATGTTAGGTAGGGGGAAGATTCACAGAAGGGGATGTTGCAGGGCCTCACAACAGTCTTTAGCGTTGCACGAATGGGATGGTCCGTCCGGGTGAGCAACTCGACCTCGATAAGAGATTGGCGTGAAGTGCAAGTGTTATACTTCTACGTTTCGTCTCGTGAGTGAGGTAGTTTTTCCACCGCTGTGGGAATCAAACGCGGTTCGGTCTACCGGATGTCCTTCGTCCTTTTCAACCGACTTCAAAAAGGAGGAGGTTATCAATTCGGATGTTTATTTGTTTTCTTTAATGTATGTTCGGACATAACTCCGTCGTATGTAGACTCACTCACTCGAAAAGGTTAAGTAGATGTATTCAGTCTAGCTGAAAATACGAAAACATCGTATTTACACAATTAAAACGATGTTTTCGCGTTCTTAGCTGTCATTTATTTAATTAATAGAAAGAAGATATTCAACATATGATTGTAATCTTTTATATTTCACTAAAAACACATAATTTTAAATAGTTATTTTATTTTACACTTGATGCGCCATAATTTAGCACTCAAAGCTTTGTTTTCGAGAAAAGTTTATCAATCACATTATCTAATGACATAACTCAAGTACTTATCGTCTATATGATTGTACCATTTTGTCCTCGGATAAATATTTCTACACAATGCGCAAAGTGGTTAAATTGTTTAGCAAACATATTATAACTAACTTTTCAATTTAACCACTTTATTGACATAACCTGGTATGTTTGACATTATGATTATTTGGAATTGTGAGAAAACGCCCGTAACGGCAACGATTTAGATAGGGCATAAGTTTAGAAATATCTCTTTATCTCAAGAGATCAATGATGTTAAAAATACAAAAATATTCGAGAAACGTTCTCTCGTGAACAAATATCGCTAATTTAGCTTCTAATTTTTTATGATAAAGTCAATTATAACAAATACCTTACCCAATTATTGAAATACGGAAATAGAGTAAGATATTTTCTTCATGTATTGAAATTAATTTTAACACGATCATTATAAAACTGTTTTTGATAAAAATGAAATAGCACCAATAAATGCCATTATAATTTAACCTTAGCATTTGACTGACCATTTCCACCAGACAATGAATACAAGACAAGAAGCAAATAAATCATCGTTCCGCCATTTATTTAATCGTATCATGGTGTAGGATAAAAATTTATAGCCATTAAAGAAACATTTTATTGACATGCAGAGGTCAGGGGTTATGAATGGAAGTTTTCATTCAATTAAGGTGATAATATATTCTGTCTATTTAACAAAGGAACATTGATGAGGAGACGTATATTTAATTCCGTAGGGAATTTCACGGCCGCGGTATGGGAACGAGGGAAATAAGAGCAAAAATACGAGCCATTGTTTGGCGAATAATAGAATTAGGGCGGTATCGTGACAAAGCGCAACGTCTATAAATTAGCGCGGTCGGTCGATGAATCAATCAGGGCCTAATGAATGACGTAGACGCGCGGACGGCCGCCCATGGTGCGCCCACCGCAGTCGAGCACCTGTACATAATGGTACCATCACTAAAGAAGCAAATCATTATAGTGCAACGATAGCCCATGGTTTTACTCGATGGAGATTTCGCTGATTACCTTATGGACATGACACAAGGCATCATGATCATATTGCCCGCAAAAATCGCGTAAAGCCATAACCGAATCGAAATGCAAACGCTTCAGTGGACTAGTTAAAAAGTAAAGCAAAAGTAAATTAATCAAAAAGTCCTATAAATATCTATCCGGGGACGAAATGTTACTGCATATAGCCGATAAGTAAGTACCTACTTGAGTTATGTCATTAGACAATGTGATTGATAAACTAGTCTCGAAAACGAAACGTAATGTGTTTGTGTGTTTAATGCTAAGGAGACAATAGAGTGCAAAATTAAGTTATTGGAGGGAGATTCACATATCAATTTTGACAATAATAATATAACAATTTCTTAGTAAGTTAAGTATTGCACGACACTTCAACATGTTGATGTATTTTAAAACACACATTCAGTTTAACTATCCTCTACATCACAATGTCGCAACACAATGTCTGCTTACAATTATAATGTTCTCGATTCGCAATCAAAAAGCTTTTATGGTAGGCAGTTTGAAGTACTGAGAAGTGCGTTTGAATATAATGGAACTAGATGACATATAACATGTTCGTATGCGTACTGTATTGTTAAATAAGTTTCATTCAATAGGCATGAACATTCAAGATACGTGTGGTTCGACTACATTAGGGTTGCTGATGTATTAATTACGTTAAAATAATATTTTCAATAATGCGCAATTTTATCACTAAAAATAAAATAAATAATAATACCAATGTCAAATATTCCAATGTATTGAAACCAAATGTAACACACTTGTTTGTCTTGGGCATAATGTGATTTTTCGGAGGTTTTCGAATAATCTCATTAAGAATAATTTATAGAAACAATGTAAAATTCACACACAATGTAATAAAACTGATTTTAGATTGTTTGAGTGTTATCGAATACGTTGACCGCGGTCCATATGGCGAAAATTTATTTAATTGTACAAATTGGCAGCCCTAAATGGACCGCCACAGTCGGCGCATAATTGTGACAATGAAGACAGTCAAGTGTCTGTCGTAAAACTACAGAAGACTAACAAACAAACTAAACAAAGCACAGTCCTTTTGTAGATAAACAATGAAGTATTCATCACCAGTCCGCTTGGTGCCTGTGAGTATTTTTGCTTTGTCACCGAATAAACATTACGACAAAAAATGCGGAGCGACGCATGCATTTTCATTTTCATTCGATCATATCAGAAGGGAACTTTTGATGAAATCAATAATTATTTATTCACGAACATGTAACAAAACACAACACATATGTATTTCAAGTGTGAATTTAGGAGCTATGTGAGAAGTGGCCATTAATTTCTTAAACACTACTTAATCTTGTATCTTGTATTAACTGATGTTTTTGCTTTCAGTCTCGAGACTATTAAAGCTTCATCGGACGCAGAACCGGTGGGCTAGCCAGAACCCACGGGTTTGGGTCTACTTAATTTTATAACGTTGAAACACCACCGTTTACCACACCATGTTTGGTATTTAATGGTCCTAAAGGGAAGAATTAGTTTTTGTATATCGAATGCATGCAATGTGGACACATTATAAGCTTATTTGAAATTATTCAAACAAGCACCGACGTGGTCTTCCTTCAAAAAATAGTTACATAACCCACTACGGCATTCGCAGCACGTACGATGCGTACATCACAGGCTAATTATTTCAATTTCTTAGGTTGTCGTCGCAGCCATGCCCGATAATAACGATGCCACTCGAGACATCCGAAGAATTTTGATGAGTCAGGTGCCGAAGTCAAACGGAACTTTTCGCGTTTCGTCATACGACAGCGCTTAAATTTAATTTCGTGGATTCTGAAACGGGCGATAGCAACGTTAATATTCGGAATGCATACAGTGCTAAGAGAGCCGAATGCGTTCAACAAAATGATGTGCATTATTCTCGAGCCCCAAAAATAAAAAGGCATTCGGATGCTGATAAGAATTCAATCGTATAAAAAGCTTATTCAAAAGGAGCAAAAAAAAAGTCTAATGCACCGTTGGGATCTTAAAACAAACAAACACAGGGCACACCTCATCGTTCCCGCAGCCAAGCAGACGTCGGCCGCTTTGAGCACCAGACAAAAACCCAACCGACTCAACCTTTTAAGTAGGTTGTTAACTTTTTGATTTATGGTCAATAATAGAGACGCAACGCCGTGGGAGACTTTTTCGAACACACAGATATATAATTTTAATGAACCCTACGGACCATTATAACGCATTGGTTTGTGTTAAGATAGATATCGTTTCGTTCCCTCCGTGTTTTGCTCTGCTGCGTTTTGTACCTAAAAGTAGGAATGTCGAAAACACAGAAAGATTGGCAACTTGGGTGGTCACTCTTAGGCGGTTTCATAATAATTACCTACCTGGCCTTTATTACTTAATCATTTAAAACTAATCTACTTTTCACGCTTTATTGAGGAACAGCACTTTTAACTAAAATTGCCATTCAATTGAACATAGTTTGGTCGGCGGGATTGTTTAACTACTTATGCATATTTCGTATAATATTAATGAACGATGGAAGCTTGTCTTCGAAAAGCAACTGTGAAAGGTATCATTTTTGAAAAACCAAGCGAAAAGTCAAATTATAATCACTTCTGCAAATCAACATCTTTGAAACTTTCTTTTTTTTTCTTTACATCCGCTTCTGAAATGGTTCATTGTTTGAAAGATGACTCCGTGACGCAGTTGCCAAGGTACTCGTTTCGGCGCAGGGGGTTGTGTGTTCGATTCCCTACTTGTATGACCTACAGATAATTATTTCGGATTTGTTTGTCCACGTTAAATCTTATGTTTGTAAAACGTCTTTACAAAACAAGATAATATTATGCTACAGTGAGGGCAACGTTTATCAAAAGAAAATGAAATTAAATTATCAACGGTGATGTAGGGGGGCAAATCGATCGTAATACACTCTTTATCCACTGACAGATGAAAGCATATAAAGTTGAAAAGTTAACACAAGAACTCCTTTGTTTGACATAAGCGATTCTTTCATTTTTGTTTATTAGCTTCGGCATATATAGTTATAAAATTCAGCTACATTCATATCCAAGCAGATAGCCTGTCTATTAATAAAAACAAAATGCGATTCCAGAATTCTTCCTTTTTAATTCCTCTAACCCCAACGATTAACGAATGATGAAGATAATCAAACTTCAAGAGCAATAAAACAATATAGCGGAGTGTACCCATGATTTTCTTATTGCTTTTCCCAATGCTTATCCCGGAGCAGATTACTATTTTATGATATTGAATTAATAAACTCGTTAAAGTACAAAAGCGGTGGTAAATTACAGGTCTCTTTGTTTTATTAAGTTCGCATGGCGTCGGCTTTTGTTTGCTTTTATATGGGATTGTATTGGTTTTTTTTTTGGAGTGCGTGCGTCTGGGTGGGCGCTTTCCGAGACACGGCTGCGCCGACGCACGGCAATTATAATGCTCTGAGATAAAGTACTTTCGGTGGGAAGATGCGGCGTGAAATAGAATTTCGATGTCATTTTTTGTTTAATTCTCTCTATTTCCAGTAACAAATTGATTTAAAAAATGTTTTCTGCTTAATAACACTGTCAAAATTATTTTAAATATTAAAAAATTTACTTATTTTCGAAAGTTCATAAAATATGATAATTTGGCAGGATTTAATAAATTTAATGATAGAAACGTACAAGATATATAATTTACTAGCGGACCCGACAGACGTCCTATAAACACGACTGAAATCCGAAAACAACTTTTAAATAAAAAAATTAAAAAAAATCTAAACCATTTTACCTGACCTGAAGACACACAAAAATTATTAAAATCGGTCCAACCGTTCAGATGGAGTTCAGAAATATACACACTTATTATTCGTATAAAGAAGATATGGCAATTTATACTTTGTTGTATATGTATAAATTAAAGTAAACAGGAGAAAAAATACGATATATTAAAATGTTAATTCCTCCCCCCACCTGTCTATGCTAGAACTATACTGTGTTGTGTTTCCGAACGAAGAAGTCTCCTATTTTGTTGCATTTTGTGCCGGCCTTCGAGTGCGTCTGCACGTGCCAAACAATTATACATACATACGAGTACATACTCTCGAGAAACATAACCCTACTCCTGGCTCAGTCGGGCAAAGGGTAGAATTTGACTAATTACCGTCACAAACCGGACAGTTGTGGTGCGTGTGACGCTGGTGGCGCGGCCGGTCGCAGGGCGCGTAGCACTCTGGCCGCGAAATGGTGACCACGCCGGCCTCGCAGCGGAGCAGCCGGCCCGCCTCGCCCCACTCCGTGTGGGAGAGGTGCTCCGTGCCGTTGTACCAGCAGCCCTTGCAACGCGCGCAGCAGCCCTCGCGCGGCATCACCACTGCGCAGTCGTCCATGGGGCCACACTCGTCGACGCCGCTGCGGCACTCCACGAACCCGTTCTACAATCAGAAGCGTAGCCGTGCACAAACGGTTCAGTTATATCAACTGTGCTAGCGTCACGCTACAGACGCTACAGTCTTCGCTATTGCACGAATGGGCAATGGCGAAGACTGTTATATCGAGAACTTGAAGTGGGCGTATTTACATCAATGTTTCGTCTGGCAGACGGGCCTCAGTTTATTAAAATAGGCAACGCATCTGCAACCCTACGGGTGCTGCATATGTTAAGGCGGTTATCAATTAACATCAGGTTAACCGCCAGCTCGCTTGCTTCTTTATTACCATATATAAAACATCATCAAGACACATTTTACCATATTGTCCCAAAGTAAGCGACCCTAGCTAGTATCTTGGGTATTAGATAACTGATAAACATACTTAAACATGCTTTTCGTTTTGGTAATAAATAGCTTATATAGATGTATAAACACACTAGACTCTTGGAAACACTATGTTCAACATACAATATTTTGCCAATGTAGTATAATGATAAAGTTAATTTACTTTAAATGGAATTTTTTGGGCTTAACTTATATTTTGATTTAAACGAAAATAAAGAAGTTTAAATTTACTACATCTAGACAAAATTAATAAACATTGACTAAGAATGCTTGAGGTTCTAGTAAATTACTCAGGCTGTTTTCTTTTTTTATATATGTATTAGAATAGATGAAGTACTACGTACTACGTCCATACTTCATACTTCCATAGACGAAGGCATAGCATAAAAGTAGTTATATCTTTGCCGCCATATCCCAAAAAATAAAGCAAGTGATTTATTCTTATTATAGCAAAGTTCGAATTTTGAACTATAAGTTTATTAACGATAAACAACTGAACAGATAAATGTGGCATAGCTAGCACCGCCAGATACAAGTTGTCAATAAAATTTAAATAATTGTATTAATGAGAGGAAATTTTGTAGGATCTAATGTCCGTGTTTGTTCCCACGAGGGATTAGGAAATGTCGAACATAAAAAAGAGGCGTTGAAGCTTTGCACACTGGTCTTAAAAGTAACATATTAATATAGTAACACTAGCTGCTGCCCGCGACTACGTCTGCGTAGAGGGGTGACAATTTAGGGTTGTATGTATTTTTGTATGTTGTATCATAAAAAAAAGAAATTAAACATTTTGTCTAAAAAATAAAAAAAAAATTTAGGGGTGGACTACCCCTAACATTTAGGGGGATGAAAAAAAGATGTTGGCCGATTCTCATAGATACCGGATAAGCACAAAAAATTTCATCAAAATCGGTCAAGCCGTTTCGGAGGAGTATGGCAACGAAAACTGTGACACGAGAATTTTATATATTAGATAAACCAGAGTAGAGTAACAGTTTTTATGTCCTGTTATGTCCTAGTACTGGGCAATACCTGTTCTAGGGTATAGTCGCCCGCTCCCCATCCTTTTAACAGAGTTTAACCATCCTTTTGGCAATTTAAATAACATTTGAAAAGCCATTTGACAGCTGATTTGTTAACTTCAACGATGATTAGTGTTTCAGAAAACGGTCGTTAAAGTTGCAAAATTTGTGCCGACTAGATTCGAACTCAGGTTGCTCTAGAAATTTGAATTAAAAGCGAGCGTCTTGACACTGACTTTATTAATAGTAATGTAATTATTGAATTGTATTTATAAATTATTAGATATCGTATAGCGATGAATGCAATATTTACAGTCCTTATGACAGACTATTAACATGCCAAGTATGAATGAAAACCTATAACCTATTAGCAACTAACGAATATTTATAAAGCATGTAAGTGAGTAAAACGAGAGAAGGCCACATAAAAATCAAACCAAATTCTGGATTTCGTACGGCGTATGATTATGTATTCACGCGGAAACCATTACTTAATATTTATTCGGCCGTGGAATTCAAGCGACTTATTATCATCTAAGTTGGCAGACATGATCAATAATGGCCGCCAATATTGACACGAATCTGTGAACTTATCAAACGTTTTAACACCAAACACTGTGCCGTCCTAATTTGTATGTATCTGTGCTGTGGCCCCGGCAACAGTTACCCGACGTGGGGCAGACGCGTGCGTACGTGTACGCGCAAGCCTCGCTCCTGCTGTAACAGCCCAATTATCGGACTTTAACCGCATGTGCAAATTTATTTGTAAATAATGGTATTATTTCAAATAAGGATATAATTGGTCTGGTGGAAAGTGCGACCCGATGCTAATGAACCAACTGCTAATCAAAGCTGGTTAGTGTTAGATTGACAGTTAAGTTCGCATATCGAATAGCTTTCCATAGCTCTAGATTTATGTGTATTCAATATTTAAGTGAAGTTTTCTCCGCAACCATTTCTGTCATAGACAGAACTTGTTATTAAGTTCTTTTTAACAATGGGCCGGCTCCGATGAAAGTAACTCAAAATCCATAGACCATTTCGGCATAAGTGTTGACACAATTGATAATTTTTGACCGGATAATGAGCCGTGAAGCCGTGTTAGCTAAAAGTTCGTGCGCTAGCTTTTAATTCAATATACTTGAGCAACCTGAGTTAATTTTAAGCTGATTTATCATCCTCAGCGGTATTGTGAGGAGACCTGCATAACAAAAAAGAATTACAAAGAGGGTCTTTGCCCAGCGGTGTACATATAGGTGGACATATGTACATATGGGCGGTACCTTTACTTTTCTTTTATAGGTGTAAAATTATGGTGGACATTCCGATTTCCGGGAACACATGTAAACCTTCATGTTGAATCACTCTATCTAGTAAAAAAAAACCGCATCAAGATCCGTTGCGTGGTTTTAAAGATCTTAGCATACATACGGACAGACAGCCAACGAGACGATTTTATTTTATACTATGTGATGCTGCTACGTATATGTAGTGCGGACATTATGATGCTAAAATTTTAATGGACGTACCCAATTGCAAAAATCTAATTTAAATTGAAGGAAACGTTGGCGCATGCTGTAAAAATCCTCACGGCGGCTATAAAGGAATACAACGCTGTGTCCGATAGTAATAAATTTCCGAGGTCACGTACGCACTGTTATGTTTAATGTGTTTCAATACATCGGCCGAATTTCGGGAGCGGCTCTTTGAACTAAGCCTCAAATAACGAAATATTTACGTAGCACGCTGTTAAAAATAAACCCGCCCGCCACAACCTGTCGACTGGCCATTATTTATATTAATGTACTGCCCATAAAGCAGAACAGGCAAGATATCTACAAATATAGTTTAATAGGCCAATTCAATTAGGTTACAAACTAACAAACTGTAATAAATACGTTATCGACCCGAGTACATGTCGAAATAACATTAATAAAACATTGCCGATTCAAACAATATATAGAACTAAACATTTTTAAACATTATACCCTTTAACAGTATATATGGTAATTGTGTCGTTATTATATACCATAATTATATTCTAATGATAATGTACTAATATATAATTTTGTATTGGGTTATAGGCATATTTTGCTTTATGTATGTATTTTAGCGGAAAAAATTTAACGGTGTAGTAAATTTTATCTTAATTTCCAAAGACTTGCCACTCGTATGTCTATGGTAAAATTCTCGGATAAGATATTACAAATCTGGCACAGTACCGTGGTCAGTCACCGAATGGTAATAATTATAATAATGAGCAAATAATTATTTATAAATATAAGATATTTTTTTTAAATAACAGTAGAATTAGGTCCTATCCGCTATCTTTCATTTAAATTATCTTTCATTTATGAGATCATCAACTTTATTCTATTTATCTATATTCCGTTAAAAGAGGTAAGCGTAAGCATTCAAAACACCTTTGAGAAAAAATATATAGTAGAGATTGTGAATGCAACGTGAATTTATTAAATAATTAAATATGGGGGTTTGAAAAGATCCTTATTACATCAAAATTTAACATTCCGTGACTTTTGGTTAAACAAAACTATTTTTAATACATTACAAAACTATTTATCGCGTTTTAATTTTTAATTCCCAACATTTCGGACCCTTTCCAGGGTTCATGATCATGCGACAGGCTAAACTGTTTCACGTCGTAATGTCAGAGTTAACCCAAGCTGCTGTCAACTCTTTTAATATTTATTTTTATTTCGATCTACTCCAAAAGAGCTTATGGTATCTAGAGGTAATAGCAGTATGGTGTGCTGGAATTTAATTTTATAAATTATGGAATCCCAAACTGATGATAAACCCCTACCATCTTATCTATTCAAACTAGATATCGTTTTATTTTATATACTTAATAATTTGATTTTAATATAACATTATTTTGTTACGGTTAAGTTACAGTGGCATTGCAAATCTTAAAGGGCCATCCCCGGCTTCCTCATCACATTTTGTGATATCGTAGTCCCGACGGCCCACGCGCACTGCAGTAGTTACTGCTTGACTATGCCAAAGGTATTCATGGCATAGTTGTGATTGTTTGAATTATTAACAAATATAAAAGTAAAACGGTGGACGGATATAATTTCCAAAACCTGGAAATCCCCATAAGCGCCGCACTCCACTAGGTGACGGAGCGAAACCGATAGAGACAGCTCGTTGACCAATTAAATAAGAGTCACGATCCTCAGCAGTGAGGGAACGACTAAGAAGAAGATTTAAAGTAAATAAAAGCAAACCATTTTAATACTAAAGTAATAAACGTGGTGTTATGAAATGTTTTACTTATGTTACACAGAGAATGCACGTGAGATATTTGAAGTGTAAATAAAAACAGTCATAACGTTGTTAAAATAGATTTTAGCATATTTTGCTTTCTATTTCGTGTTAAAGATGATTGGGCAGAATCAGCTCACTACGATCGTAAATTAGTTCATCAGGATCTGTGTTCCCTGACGGATATGGGAGATTGAGCTTAGATTAATAAGATTTAGATTCATCTGATGTTTTAGCTTTATGCTACGGGCCTCTACATCTGTAATGGTTTTCTATTTTGGTGTGTAGGGAACGATGACATCTACGGTTGGCGCTACGGGGCTCTACATCCTAAGGAACGTTAAG